CAAAATAAAATAAATGTATTTAATTTAAATTGGTCTTAAAGTTACTTCTCATATCATCTCATGAACTTGGTGACTATTTCTTTGAAAGCCTCTATGTGTTGCGACTAATCACAAATGACAATGAGTGATGCTCCATTTTTTTTTGGGAAAACGTTATCGAGAGTCGAAACAAACTTGTGTCTGAAATTGAAACTTCCTTAGCGGAGGTTTCAGATTGGGGTAGACTAAATCTAGTCGAGTTCAACCCAAAAAAGACACAGGTCTTTTTGCGTACACCGCAAAGAAGATACCATTTGTCGTATTACCTCGGTTTGAGACCACCTCCCTAACTGCCTCAGCCAGCATATCGACATCGACATATCGCGCGACAGATATGAGTTAATGATACATATTTTACTTTTTCTACTCAAGAAGAACTATCAGTTAATCGCTATATGGACGAAGATACAGTTTTTAAAAGAAACAATGTTTTTCATTCTTACGTTCACACTTAAGTTTTGTAAAGTATTTTTATTTTGCTTTAAGTTCAGTTTCGGGGTCACTTAGAGGGTGTGGTCAAATTGGCCTCAATGAAGCTCGGTGTGCTAAACAGATCGAGGCAGTACTTCACTCCGGCCCACCGCCGTCAGCTCTATAAGGCGCAAGTCCTTCCGCATATGGAATACTGTTCTCATCTCTATGCAGGGCCACCTCAGTACCAACGTCTCCCTCTGGACCGCATCCAACGAAGAGGGATTTGAATCGTCGATAGCCCAAACATCTCCGATCGGCTCGATCCCTTAGCGTTACGTATAGATGTGGCTTCACTCTGCATTCTCTATCGCATATATGATGGAGAGTGCTCCGAGGAATTGTACGGACTAATACCAGCCGTAACTTTCCGCCATCGTTCCACACTGCAAAATTTTCATCCTCATCACCTGGATAGTTGGCGCTCCACTACTGCGCGCTTTTCGAGACAATTTTTGTCCAGCACAACTAATCTATGGAACGGGTTATCGTCTGCGGTATTTCTGGATCGATACGATCTTCCAACCTTCAAGAAAAGAGCGTACTCCTTCCTAAAAGGGCGGCAACGCGTTTGTGACTTCTGAGTTGCAGACATTCATGCTCGGCGATGGTCACTTTCCATCAGGTGACCCGTCTGCTCGTCTGCCCCCTCTAACATGAAAAATGAAAAAAATGTTACGTTGTAACTAAATGATCGATTGTGATCTATAAAATTTTATTTATTTTAAAAAACTATTTTATAAGTAAGTACTCAAAATGATATGAAAAAAAATTGGTTGATAATTATCATCAATACGCCGCTAAGCAAGGAAGCTGACAGATATGAGTTAATAATACATATTTTACTTTTTCTACTCAAGAAGAACTATCAGTTAATCGCTATACCGCTGCATATAGACAAAATACAGTTTTTAAAAGAAACAATGTTTTTCATTCTTCTCTCTTTACTTAAGTTTTGCAAAGTATTTTTATTTTGCTTTAATTAAAAGTCTAGCTAAAAACAAAAAGAGTTTCAAAAACTTGTTAACATCCCTATTGTAAAAATATGACGAGTAGATACAATTCACAGGATGCAAGCGCTCTTTCTACACTTTTAACCGACTTCAAAAACACAAAAGAGGTGGTTATCAATTCGTCTGTATTTTTTTTTGCCATTTTATTATGTATTTTTGTTACGCGATATCTCCGTCAATTGTGGACTGATTTGCAAAATTATTTTTTTAATCGAAAGGGTACGCTCCCTTCCCATGGGTGTGGTCCCATTACCACCAAATTAGGATCTGATGATGGGATCCTAGAGAAATCGAGGGAAACCCTCAAATTTTACAGCCCCGACAACGGGTTTTAGCTCATTTCTCTAGCTTTATAGGTATTTGCGTTTCGTAGTCGTTATGTTATGTTGCTGAGCTGATGATGGAAGGATCGTTGACCTTTGGGAGTTAGAAAATAATTATTTCAAAAATCAAATCATGTAGGTATTAAATAAAGATATTTTTAAGGTATTTGTGTGGGGTTACAGAGATATGTGCAAAAGAGAGTAATGAATGAGATTACAAAACATTTAGACAAAAAAAAATGTTTCTTATGCAATTATTTTCATGTTAGTTACCTTATAACTCTTTTATTTGTAAAACGATTACAAAAAATATTTTTTTATTTGGCCTTTTCAAATATTTTCCTTTTAATTCCATACAAATATGAAGCAAAATACCATTCCTAGCTTTGTATAATTAAGTAATGTGGAAAACAATATATTTTCTGGTTCAAATGTAACATCTTACTACTTTATCTTACTAAAGTAACGGACTTTATAAACTTTACAGTTTGGTAGGTACTATACATTACGGTACGTAGTGTTTTAAATATCGTACTTATCTACTCATTACAAATATAGGGGCAAAAATATATATATACAATACACTAAAAATGATATAATAAATTCTTTTCAAAAATAAAGTTGAACTCGACTTCAAACAATACTGACAGAGAGCACTTAAAATTAAAAAAATATTACAAATCCAAGTAAAAAACCTAAAATAAGTACCCTTAATATAACAGGTAACATTATTATAGCAATAGTCCCTTCTAGTCTGTTTGAAGTTGGTGCCAAGCCCCAGTGAGTGGGGAATGTAGTCTGCTGATCCCATGCGGTGCGCGATGCTGCGGTGAAGTCCCAGTGTGTCGGGGCTGTTGCTGCGTAGTGGCTGGCTGCTGCGTAGACGGAAGAGAGATACTCTTATTACGCGGACCATAGGTGCAGTGTGCTATGCCTAGACCCTGATGAGGCCGTAAGTGATGAGGGACCTCCATAGCCTGGTGGCCGAAGTTGCTGGCTGGCTGACGCTTGATTACTGCTCATCGCTGTGGAAGTGTAAACGATGGTGGCAATGGTGCTGCTGCTGATTTGCTTCTTGAAGGCTGCTTTCAAGTAGGCGCTGTAGTATGTTTTTTTCTCATGATTTGTGGAAGTTGCCACTCTTTGTATCATCGTTTTGAGAGATATAGTACAGTGCTGTCGGAAAACAGTTAAATTAAGACCGACTGCTAGGGGGAGCGCGAATCGCAATTGCACTCTGCCGCCACTGTCCTTAGGTTCACCTGAAGGAAAGTATTTTCACAACATGAATTTTAGACACAAATAAAATGCGATATAAAATTGTTTTTAAACATTCAATTGATATCAATTAAACTAATCAATAACAAAAAAAGTAGAAAAAATAGTAAACTGCCTGGTTGCTTGTTTATGACGTTACTTATTAAAAAAATATAAAAGTATCTAATTAATTCATCACAAATGATACTAGCATTATGCTTTTTATTATTAGCAACTAAAATTAAAAAGGAAAATTAAATTGAGAAGCTTCATCTAACTTTACGTACCGAACTTAGTGTCTCCAAAGCATTTACATGGTAGAAATACAAAATCATAAATTGACACCGCTGTGCATGTATAAAATAAATAACTTTTTACTGTTTTATGTTGTGTGGAAACCAGCTAGTACAATATCGACTAAATATATAAGTTCTTATAAAAGTAACAATGACCATACAGAACAGCAGATCCTTTGCCAAAAGATCTCTTGTCAAGGCCTAAGATACTAAGACAACCACCGGGCTATCTATATATCTTTAAAGGTATCGTAGAGAATTGAGCTTTATCTATTTCCGAAGTTCTAATAGCTCCGAAGAGCAACCGTTTTTCAAAAACCTAGTTAATGAGTCCAAAATCGGGTGACCTACTCGATGTTTCTCCACCGCACCATGTAATATTCCGAGAAACGCTTGGAAAAATCGACAAGAGAAAACGTGGACCACCCACCTTCGCAAAACATTAAATGCAACACGCAATGCTGTCCTAAAAGTTTCTGCCTCTGTTACTGAATACATTAGTGTCAACACACTTTTGTCTTCGCTTTTTCAAAATTAAACCTTAATGACTAAATTCAGAATTTTACTTGTATAAAATAATATTGGAAGTATTCTAGAGAGGGCTCTTCACAAATTTCCTAGTTATGATCGTTTTAGATTTAATATTATTTTTTTTATATTTAGATTTAATAATTTTTTTATAAACAGCTGTCTTCGTTAAGTCTAATCCTAATATATTTAAACGTCTTCAAGACAAAACGATACGGAACAGACGGTTAGGCATGCGAAAGGCTCAAACTGCACTAATGAGCAAGAGTATTTTTTGCATGGCACCTAGAATTTACAACAGAATACCTGGGGCCATAAGAGAACTCCATCTACATTTATTTAAAGTTCACTTTAAAAAATATCTCATTAATAAATGTTTTTACACGATTGATGAGTTTTTAAATGACCGTGATACTAGTGTGCTTTGACGGTGACATTTCCATATTATCAATAATTTGACTTAACACCTTTATTTGACCACTTAATTATTGTTATTGTAATTGCTTGATATTTGACCAATAAAACTGATTGTCATTAATTTATGTATTGCATGTTCTGTAGGTATCAGTTTCTGACGAAAAGTTTTGCACGCCTACCCGGCAGGATATGATGAACCTTTGTTAATTGAATTGTCCAACCATTTTTTTTTTTTTCGTGCGGAAATCCCCCTCGGATACCACCTATCGGTGGCATGTCGGACTCGAACCGACTAAAACCGCACGCCGTCTCGGGTACTAATAGCCGGGGAACCAGGTATACCCTAGAAAGGAAGTCCCTGGTGCCCCGACTGAATTGTCCAACCCTGTACTCATATTCATGCAAATATATAAAATTAAAAAAAAAATAATAATATTTAGATTTAATATTTTTTTTATAATATTAAGATTTAATATTCTGGTGAGTATGGCGGATGAGGGAGAGCTTCCAACCCCAGCTCTTGCAGCTTGGAGACTGTCTGTTGCGCAGTATGGGGTCGCGCGTTGTCGTGAGGGAGCAGTGGGGACGACCGATTGACCAAAGCTGGTTGCAGATATGACCACCAGACCTTGCACCTACCGACTATTATATATACCTCAGCCTATGCTTGTCCACTGCTGGACATAGGCCTCTCCCAATGATTTCCAGCGGGGACGGTTGATTGCGGCCTGCATCCAACGGTTTCCGGCAACCTTTACCAGGTCGTCCGTCCATCGGGTAGGCGGTCGTCCCACACTGCGCTTTCCAGTACGTGGTCTCCATTGGAGAACCTTGCTGCCCCATCGGCCGTCAGTTCTCCTTGCTATGTGCCCTGCCCATTGCCACTTGAGCGCGCTAATCCGTTGGGCTATGTCGATCACCTTTGTTCTCCTGCGGATCTCCTCGTTGCGGATTCGATCACGCAGGGAAACGCCAAGCATAGCCCTTTCCATAGCACGCTGAGCGACTCTGAGCTTTCTGATTAGGCCCATAGTAAGAGACCACGTCTCAGTTCCGTAGGCCATCACTGGTAACACACACTGGTTGAAGCATTTCGTCTTTAGGCACTGAGGTATTTTGGACGTGAAGACGTTTCGTAATTTCCCGAACGCTGCCCAGCCGAGTCGGATTCGACGATTGACCTCTTTCTCGAAGTTGGACTTACCTAATTGGACCGTTTGTCCTAGGTAGACATATTCATCAACAACTTCGAGGACAGAGTTTCCCACGACTATGGGAGTCGGCGCGACATGGACATTCGACATGATTTTCGTCTTGTCCATGTTCATTTTAAGGCCGATCTGTTGAGAAACTCCGTCAAGGTCAGCGAGCATTTGTCCCAGGTCTTCCAGCGATTGTGCCATGACTACGATGTCGTCGACAAATCGAAGGTGAGTGATGTATTCGCCATTGATGTTGATGCCAAGTTCTTTCCATTCCAGGAGCTTGAAGGCATCTTCCAGAGCAGCGGTAAACAGTTTTGGAGAAATAACGTCTCCCTGTCTTACCCCTCTCTGTAATGGAATTGCCTTCGTGTATTGGTCCTGTACTCGAACTGACATATTGGCGTTATTATACAAACACTTCAATACTTCGATGTACCAATAGTCAATACAGCTCCGCTGGAGAGACCTAAAGACTGCCCAAGTTTCTATCGAATCGAAGGCTTTCTCATAGTCCACAAACGCCAAGCATAGTGGCCGATTATACTCCTGCTACTAGCAGGCTTTGCGGTTGAGGTATACAAGTGTCGATAGAACCTCTCTATCTCCTTAAGCAACTGCCTACTCGACGTTACACTCCCCTCTTCTGTCTTCAGCTTTGTCAACTGGCTTTTCCCAATAGACGCCTCTCTTGCGATCACTTTAGAGCCTTTGTTTCGCTCTATGGTCTCCTTAATACTGTTAGTATTAAAGGAGCGGAGATCGTGTCGCAGAGAATTCCATATCTGTCTATTGAGCTGCCGATAGGACTTAGCGTCATCGGAGGTTTGGAGAGTCATAGAACGTCGCCCGGCCATGAGGTCCCGGGTATGGTCGGATAGTTTCTGAGGTCTATCTTTTCGGTGGAGTCTGAAGAACTTAGACCCAACCTCATGGATACTTTCTACCAGCCTGCTATTGATTTCGTCCACTGATGTGCAGCTATCTAGGCATTCGAAGCGATTTTGAAATTCGAGTTGAAAGCTTTCGGGGTTTTGGATCTGAGCAATCGAAGGTCGGAGCGTGGACTTCATTAGACAGGCGCGTTCCAACTGAACGTCTATATTCAGTGTGCCTCTAACCATTCGGTGATCACTTCCGGTTTTCACCCTGTGAATCACGGATACCGACTATTACTTTTTCCAAAATTTAGACAACTTTTTAGTGAGTAAAAAATTCAATTACCGAGAGGCAGTACAAAATGCCTTTGAAGAGTTAGTTGCCTCCCGTCCAGCTGATTTTTACAAGGAGTTCATCAATAAACTGCCAATGCGTTGGAAAAGATGCGTCGATTGCATGGGTGAAAAAATAAGTACTTTCACTTATTGCATACAAAACGGCAATTTCATAGGTAAAGACCTATTATGTATATATTTAAGACTCGCAGACATAGCTCACTCAACATCTATCAAGAGAAAGAACTTGATTACGTAACAATCTTAGTATAAATTAAATATGTATATATATACTCGTATAAATACCTATATATCATTACTATTACAGTATCAAATAATACAAAACAGAGTAATATAGCTGTCTATGCAATGTAGTTTACTGTGCTATGTCAAACAGTACTCATGTGATTGCAAATAGAGCTGATTGGCCATTCGTGAGACATTGGATTAATATCCATGTCTCACAGGGCAATTATTCGAATCGCGAGCTCCTACCGCAGATGTGTAAATTAATAGTAAATATATGGACACTTATATAACTACAATCAATTTTAATTACGTTTTTGAGAGTTACTACCACTACTATGGCAATTTAATAATGTAAATTACCTTTCTGATGTTTTAGATTGCTAAATTGCATGTTAGTTTAAAGGTCTTTAGCGCCGACTATCCGCCAAAATCCAGTTCAAGTTAAATGGATGCGACCTGACCTGCTAGAGCTACTTCTTAGGTGTACCGCCTCGCCTCGCCGGTGTAAAAAATAAAACACCTTTACACTTAACCTTGTTAGAGACATCACTTTGCAGGCCTTTGCTTCTACTGCCTTCTTTACTCATCTGTCACTCCTTTCCTTGAGGTTTGCTTTCTACAACTGTGACAAATCAAAGTTAACAAAACGTTGGTATTTGCTACGCTTCTGCATACCCCTTGGGAAAACATGTGTGTAATATTAATTATTATTCAAAATGGGTCTCAATTATTTCCTTCTAACATCTAGCGATGAATACTGGGTGTTGATAAGGGGCGAGTGCTGATGCGGTCGTGTGCGCGAACACTTAAAACTTAGGTGCATGCTCTTGTCTGAGTTAAGTATGATTTACAGTTAAACTTCCCTTCTCCTATCCTGAAATAACACAACTTAGTTTGGAAAACTACGATTTACCGTCAACATTCAGGTGATTGGTTGGACGCCCCATTTAGTGCACATTAGTTGAAACAAACAAAGCAACCACAACCTTTTTAAAATACATATAATACATGAATCACGGAATTATAAAGTACTAGGTGCGCTCACTTCTTTTCCGTGAAACTTAAACCAATCAATTAAATTAATTTGTAAATTAATTAAATTAAAGTTAATTGCTAAATATTTAAAACTAGTGCATTAACTTTTTCGTTGGACAGCCGGTTTTTATAAAACAGCCTATATTTTACGCCTAATTATATTCTTCGACTCTTCTGAATTGCTTCAACGTTTCCAATATAAATTGTATATCTACTCTACTTGCAGATATTTTTTTCCATTCGTCGGTCTTAGAGAGCAGAGGCGAGCATTGTCCCGATAGCAAATTTAACAAGGTAAGCAAACGTACTTTCAAAGTGGAGTATTATTTAAGTTACAATAGAGCAGTACGAAAAATAATCTTTTACGGTGTGGTTTTATATGCGATAGCGGCGGTTGGGTACTCAGAGAGGCCCGTGTTTAGAACAATGGTCCCTGTCTCAGGACCTTGGTATAAATAGTTAGATTAAGGTTGAGATAGAAACTTTGTTTTAATGAATATTGAGCCTGTAGAGAAATAGGGCATTTGCGTAACTGTCGGTAGAGATGTGTTTTGAATTTTAAAGAATTAATTAATTTCATATTATCATTACCTCGTTGCATTCATTTATATTCCTATATCAATTATCGATTACCTCATCTTCATCATCATCATCAACAGCCTCAATTTGTCCACTGCTGGACATAGGCCTTTTCTTAGAAATGAGATTTAGGTTTCAACGGTTAGCTGCATGACTTTAATTTTATCTTTTTTTTAAATGATTTGCCAATTACTAGTAGGCGTAGATACATACATATAAATATTTGTGTTCTATACATTTACATTTTAAGCTCTTTTTTTATTATTAACAAACTTTATAAAATCACTGTTAGTCATAAATGTTGAAATCATGTTTCCTCTCAACTTTCTTGCTTTGTCAACCGGTAAACTATCTCTGTTTAACTATAGGTATATTTATTGCTTGTACCATATATTAAACTTTTCTGATAGGTGTTAAAATTACTGTGATTAGAGACCAAAAAGTTAACAGACACACACTGTCTGTTAACATTTTGGTCTCTAATATAAATTACTTTAGATGTCAAATGCTTTAAAAATACTTTAAAAAGTCTTATACATATATAGTTCTATTAAACGTATTTAATTAAAGAGTTATAACGACAAAAATTAAATCGAAACAAAACATTTAATAAAAATTACTTCGTTTTAAAAAAAAGGAAAGAACCAGTTACATTTGTTGGTATTGCGGCCCGACCTCTTCCCTTATGAAAAAGATTTTTCATGCAAAAATCTGTTACGTTATTCAACTCTCGTCTCTATTTTAGCATGCTTTTATTAGCTTTTTATTTTACATTGATCTCGGTCAATAGAATATTTTAATAATTACTCAATATTTTTCTTCTTGTTTTTATAACCAATTTATAATGTTATTTTGGAGGAATGTGTGAAAGTGAATTATACCCACACATCATTTATGATTATTATTATTTAATATTTAAGTAGCTTTGAAAACACGTATTATCAACAAATGTGCCAATGCCCATCTTTTACGACGTAGAAGTTATTACATTTCCGTAAACGTCATAGAAATATAAAGAGAGGTTAGGCCTCACTTTGTATTTATAAGTATAAAGAGATACTATTTATCTGTACGAGAAGAACCCGTAACGCTTCGCGTATCTAATAACTATTTAATGGCGACGATATCAATTCCGTAACAGATACAATAAAATCCCTGATCACGTAATAACGCACTTTAGGCGGAACGTTTCTGACTCAATATTTTAGTCTATAGGTAATCACTTTTTTATTATTACGCCTTATATTTTTAGTACTCACTGAGAAGTTGAACCTATTCGCCTAACTCATATACCATATATTGTTAGACATTTGGATTGAATAGTTGTTATAAAGTACTGAGTAAATCTCATACATATCAAGCGTGGATAAGGCTGGATCGATGACAAGAAAAAGTAGCTAGTAGGATGGACCATTGAATGTGAGTCTGATTTGATTGATTTAAGCCCTCTACTTATAAAACACTTAGTCTTAAAGATGGAAGCCGTAAACTACTTTGTTTAGCTACCCAAACAAAGTAGATTATATCTTTTATGTTTTTCATCTTGAATAGCTTCCCCACATTCATATCTATGTACAGTAGACAGAAAATTCTTGTGAACCCGTGAAGGTAGATTTGACGACCTGGCCACAGTGATGCGTTTTATATCTAATCGTTGATCTGATGAGTTACATTATGTATTCGTAAATTGTTTCAGCTAAATATTTACTATACATACGTATGTTTACATAATTTGATGTATTAAACACACGCGAAACTCTCTTATAAGTTTCAGTCTTCAATCATTTTATGTCAAGTTCGCCTTTAAGAGATTGCCTCGAGCTCCCTAATGCTGCCTCTCATATATTTGTACATTGAAACTGGCGTTATGCAATTCGTTGCTTTTCGTCGAGTGACTCTAGGGAGAGCAACTCAAAGCGCTTCAACGCTCTTATGATTCTTGAGTTACTAGTGTTTGTTGGCGGCGGTAGTCACTTTCCATCAGATGACCTTTGTCCTTGGTTTACCCCCTTATATCATAAAAAAATCCATGTGGTGACGGTTAAGAATACGGAGTGTCACCACCCCTATTCATCCCATGGGTATCGTAAGAGGAGACTCCTTAGTCGCCTCTTACGATACCCA